CTAGCTAAATGTCAAGGATGTCTCGATTTTGTTTGTTGAATTTTTATATAATGTGCCGTAATAACGAATACAATTATGTCGAGCTCAGATTACAGTAATCGTTATGAGATATCAAAAAATGTAATTCAACGCGAGTTCTCTCGTTTTTGTACGAACTTCGACCTTCGCTATTTAACAAGCTCGGTTGTTGCAAATAAAAAAAATCACGTAGTAAAGCAAGCAACACCTTGAGGGTTCTGTTCACTATTTTCATACCATCCACAGATTCAATATATTTTCAATTACCTCGGGTTATACCGTGCCAACTATATTAAATGATAATATTATTGTATTAATATGTTCGTAAAAGCTATGACATCAATCGTATAGCGAATTTACACAGAATGACTATAAATAAAGAAATTTAATGTACAATGACGGTTGTGTTCAGAGGAACCATTTTTAGGGTTCCGTACCCAATCGGTAAAACGGAACCCTATTACTAAGACTCCGTTGTCTGTCGGTGCTGTCTGTCTGTCCGTTTGTCAACAGGCTCTCTCAATCTCTTAAAACATGATAGTTAGACAGTTTTCAAGATGGTATATTTCTTTAGCCACTATAACGACAAATATTTAAAAAAAGAATAAAAAAATATTTAAGTGGGGCTCCCATACAATAGTCATGATCTTTTTTACCGTTTTTGTAGATAATGGTACGGAACTCTTCGTGCGCGAGACCGACTCGCACTTGGCCAGTTTTTATAGTAGTTCAATATGAATTACACAGTTTTAAAAACATATCGTGATGAGTTGTGTAACATAATGTTACGGGACTCCGATAAGGTTTTTTACGCTCGTAGCACAAAGGTCGGGGTCAAAACGGTTCGACGATAACCGATGCAACCTCCGATCGCTCCAACGTGGTCACGACCAGAACATAAGTGAGGCACCTTTCATTTGTTCCCAAAATTGCTCGTAAGCACTCGATTTGCCCACGGAATATAACTACGAAAATTATAATCTTAATCGTTAATAATGTAAAATAATGGATTGGATGCCATTCCTCCCCAACAGTTGAAAGGTATTAAGAGAATCGAAGCATTGCCTGCTTACTGTTTGCTTATGTATATTTTAGTTAAGCATAAAACTTAATTTTTCCTTATCATCGCCTGGCCTACTTGAGTAAACGGGTTTTATTTACTTTGTAAACGAAGCTGGGGCGCATCTTAACTTTGTTTTTATCAGTTGATGTGTTCAGCCGTCTTGACCTTATAGTCTCATCTTTATCTCTTGTTATTCCTCTTCGTCGGAATCAAGACGAAACTATTTCGTGCACAGTTAATCAAGGAAGCGTTCTTCTTTGTAAAAACAAAGAAATTCGAAGTAAATTAAAATTACAAACAACTTTCTCCATACCAGGGGTTTTTTCTTACGAAATTTTCCAGATCTTTCACATATTCTATACTCTGATATTGAAAAATATGTGATTGTATTTATATTTACAGCTCATTTGTTACACAGATTGATGATAGACCACTTAATAATAATTTTCGACGCTTGGAATCATTAATACTATCTAATTTAACAAAATCAAACGTTATCATAAAAATGTTATCGTAAATCAACAAATCAAAAATACTTTGTATAATAAATAATAATTGTATTATTTCACTATGTTTAAAACGATTTGTTTAACTTTATAATTTATCGGAGTCCCACGCGACCACGCACCAACTTTGGTCAACTGTAACTTATCACCATACTATGAGTAATGTCAGTGATAAACTAACTGTAGATAGCTAGCATTGAGTTCTCTATAAATAGAATATTGAATAGACTTAACAATACGAAACTGAAGAGAATTTGTAGATGTATATAAGAATTATTTTTAGTTACAGTAAGTTCGAGGTCAAAGACATTTTCGTTGAATGTTTTTTTGTATTTGTATTAATAAACAGGCAAAATACTGTGTAATAATTTATATGTCCTTGTACCAGTAACGATTTTTTTTATTTTCTAACTAAAAATTAGGTGCATCATGTTCTCCTCATATTAATAAATGTTATCTAACATTTACTGTACGACTCGCATCAGACTAATATTTATTTATTTTATTTCCATGATCATTATTTTTAAATAAAGAAAACAAAATGAACACTTGATTTTTTTTTATTGTGATCACTGTTGCATTCGCAGCGACATTTTACGACTTTATTTTGAATCACTTACCATCAGGTGAGCCTCCTGCTCGTTTGCCCCTTTTCTCCATAAAAAAAAAAAAATAAAAAAAAAAAAAAAAAACCTAATACGTCAGGTGCATTATTATGAATATTTAGTGGCATCCATAACTCAAGTTCAGGAGATTTACATCAACTTTACTCTTAACGTTTATAGGATTAAGATTTTAAATCTTTCTCACTCGACCTTTAGAACATAAAACTATTGATTCGATAGATGACTTCGCCGCCTGAACATCAGAGACAACGAACTAATAGCGTACGCATAGCAATTTAATATAATGACCGGCTATAAGAACATGGGAATACTTTGTTACGTTTGAGAGACACGTAAAAACTAGCTACGTCCGGCGAGAAACATCTCGCCACGAACAAGGCTGAACAATATGGACTGGAGCGTGTTTACTGTAGTTTATGGGAATCGTAATAGTTTCTTTCTTTTCTATAATCGCTTCTAACGATTAATTAATTGATAATAAACATACCTGATTGTGCCGTCCATGATTATCAGCAAATGAGTCAACCGCATTAATGAAGTTACCAGTTAGTATGTAGTCTATCCAAAATGACCTCGGACAACCAGAACGATTCGTGGACCGAAACAATGATTAATTATTCTTATAACTATATATAACTGTATATGTACTTAAAGAGATCCGAGTTGTAGGTATAAAGGGTTTTCCAAAGTTACATAACGTCTTAGATTCGGTTAAATCGCGCGTGTCAAGCTGTTTTCTTTCAACGTCCGGTCTGCTGATAAAGCTGCCTAATATGTCGTGCACAACAATTGTTATTGTTGCTAATACAATAGTGGACACTGTCTTGCGGCACATCAGTGGACCATTAGACGGGAACGTGCAAATGCCGCGACGTTCCGTCCTATGAGTCATCGTTATTATGATTATTTTGACAGCAACGACTCGCTCGCAGTGTACACGAATGGCGGTCACATCAAACGAACAAAGGCGACCGAGGCATAGCGAATCGAATTAGAAGAATTTATAGTGGTATAGTCACGCAACAGTTTTCGTTGTTGTTGAAAGTGCGTTTCGTTGGGAAAGTGCGACCTCTCAGAACAGTATAGAGTAAAAAGTAAGTAAAGTAACAGCCTATACATGTCCCACTGCTGGGCAAAGGTCTCCTCTATACAGAGGGTATCAGGGCATATTCCACCACGCGGTGGAATATGCCCTGCGATGTTTTCCTTCACCGCGTGCTCCGCGGTGAAGGAAAACATCGTGAGGAAACCTACATATTTTCGAAATAATAACAAAAAAATATTTCGAAGATATGTGAGTCCGCCAATCCGCAGTGGGGCCGCGTGGTGGACTATGCCCTGATACCCTCTATATAGAGGAGGCCTTTGCCCAGCAGTGGGACATGTATAGGCTGTTACTTTACTTTTTTTTTACCGGCTCCATTTATCTCTGTGCAAATAAGCAAACATGTAATCCAAAAGCTATATTGACATGTTCCCTGAGCATACTGACACCATAATTGATTCGCTTTAACTATGTTAGGGCCTCTCAAAAGACTGACGTGATCTGGAAGTGTTATATTTGTGCTTCGTCTGGTGATTGAGGCAGCTGGGGCCCCACTTCATTAAAGGGTGGCAACACATCTGCAACCCTACGGGTGTTGCAAGTTTCCGTGGGCGGCGGTTATCAACCGCCAGCTCGCTTGCCATCTTCTCACATAAGAAAGTTATGCATTCCCCAATCATTTATCGCCCACTTTCGCAATAATATACGCCATCATTCGCTTGGTGTGCACCCGGCGTAAGGCTCGTTTATTAGTTTGGGCTCATGTTATGACAATTAAATATTTTGTTTAACGAAGAAAATAGTTCAATAATAGCAATGACTTACTACGGCTGTTAAGTATTAATAGGCCGGCTTCAATTTGTTTGTCGATCGGGTCGTGTGTTGAGGAAACAAATTTGAGACCAAACGTGCTTGGCGTGTCTAAGAGCGGATGTTACTGTCTTGTTCAAGTCTCGTTCATGGCTGACGATGATCACGCACTTTACCTTAACATGAACTTATGTAAGAATGGTCAATTAAATTATTAACGCTTTGAATTATATTAGATTTAAAACATGATATTAATTAAATAATAAATCACTATTACATATTTATTATAATTTAAATAAATCTATTCTCACACTTTGTTTTTGTTAAGCGTGGCAACATAATTGTTTTATTATCTTCAATAAATATTTCATCGAAGATACTTGACATTTGCCTGCAACTTAGAATTTTGTATTCGGAGTTTGAAGATCTGGTTTAAGAACAATAATCCTCATATTAGTCAAAATAGGTACAAAAATTGGGTGTTACCAACAATGCTACAACTGTTATCAAAGGCGTTGAGATATTTTTATATTTACATAAAGGTAGGTTTTTATGACGACCCAATTGGCGTAGTTGATTGCGCCAGAGAGTGTGGGTTTGATACCCAGTACTGGAAAATTTTTGTGTGATGAACATAGTGTTTTTCTAGTGTCTGGGTATTTGTATATCTAATATATGTATTTATTTACAAAAGAAAAGTACTTTTAAGTATGTTTATAATTTTTCTAGTGCCCATACCAGCTTTGTATACAAGTTTGGGACTAAATAACGTTGTGTAAAATAGTAAAAGTAAGGTACATTTAACATGGTCGTAGTACGGAATAAAAAACGACATGGCTGGTACTGACATTAAGAAAAAACCGTCCGTCAGTTCGGCTTCATCTAACTTCTATATATCTTTCATTCTTATAGTATTATTCTCCACTTTCCAGGGTCTACCGACGTGGACATGCCTTCATCGCTGCTCCATTCTATCCAGAACCAGATGCAGAGCAAAGGCGGATACGAAATGGCGTATGGAGTCAAGGTAAATATTGAATATTTAGCTTGAAAAACATTAAACAATTCTGGTCGTTACATAAAATATATATTTGACTTAGTGTAAATAAGTAAAAGTAAGGTAACACCCTATATATGTCCCGGTGCTGGGACTGCTGGGACTGCTCCTCTATACAGAGGGTACTGTAAATGTGTGTAAATAAGTAAAAACATTTAAAGAACATTTTTAGCACCTTTCTAAACGTTAACGGTTTTTTTCTTAATTTTCCAAAAAAGCCTTTTAGTAAGCAAGGCTCGCAAGTTTTATCTGTCGGCAGATTTGACCTCTGCATATATTCACTAAACATTTTAATCTCCTTTCAGGTGTACTAAAGCGATCGATTCGTTCCTGGACTCTAGTGCGTAAGCAGAGTGAACAGTAATCAAACATCGTATGATCTTATTATACACTATATTTATTAATTAAATCCTTAGTTTAAGTTAACTTAAATACTTTGTGTACATAAGGAGTCACAACCGGATTCGGTGAAAAATAAAGCTAAAAGAGTTACCTAAGAGACAACGACACTAATGTTCCCTTCGCGCACAAGTTTTGTAATAAAAATAACCTCAAATAACCTGATTAAGAATGAATGAATTTATCTTTGACATAACAAAGGAACGATTTTGATGGTGAGGATTTGTGAGTAACCGGTTACACGGTTTGAGGAAACTTTTTCTTGTAGTTATAAAACAGGGATTTTCTACATTTTTGTTCTTCTACATTGTTAAGCGTAGTTGAACTTTTGATATTATAACGGTACAAGTTATGATACTTTTTTATTTAAATGAGACATTATGTACATACCTGTCATGGTTCCTTGTATGTGAATTAATTCCTTCCCTATACAGATTCCTTCATTTTACGCCGTCATCATTTAAACACAATTAGTGTAAAAATATGAGATCTATGACTAAAGAAACTACAACAAATAAAACAAACGACAAATAAAATTACCCAAAATATAAAATCAATTTAAAAGTTATATCCACTATTGTTTAACATTACATTTATCGCTAATAGAATAAAACAAAATCTATTTCAACAAACATTATTTTCACCGACCTATTCCGTCAAAACTGCCTTTACATGGTTTATCGTGATATTTGTCATTAATAGATGTATAAGTTTTCCCTATATAGTTTCAGTGTTATTAGTCCGTATGTATCAATTTTGTCCTGACATAATAATTATTTCCTTTTAATAACTTGGAAAGCAACGATTGTGTGAAGTAAAAAACTCCACGCGAATTACTATTATTTAGGGTAATTGTATTGTGTTTTTCAATTTATGATTATACTGTAATTTACCTTAATTTAAAACTTTCGATAGGAGTCAAGTTAGAGTAATTTTAGATATAATTGTGAGAAATTATGTTAGCGTTGAAACTTTTACGTAAGAAACAGAAAACAAAATAAATAAATAATTTTTATATTGGCGGCTAAACTAATATCAAACTTGTCGTTAACACAAAGAACAAATTTCTTGTTAATAGGGAAAGGGTTCATGTGTAATTAAATCCGAAGTAGATTATATTTTTCCGTCCATGAAGCTCTTCGGATTTTTAACATTGAAATAAACGTTATGGAAAAACGTTATTACAACAACAGAATATTTGCATTACAGTAGGTTGCACTTCCCTTTAATAAATCCGTTTTATTTTAGCCGCCAATTAACGCTTGATAACTATGTCCACGTGACTACCGTGGTTAGATAGTTCTAGCGATCCGAATCCACGTAAGGTTAAAAGATCGCTACTATAATAATATTTTAAATATACCAAATCATTGTTAAACTTTACGTAAGATTATTTGAAGGAACGTTAACTTTTTAGCCGATTATATTCTCATATTTAATTAGGTAGGTACGCATATGGTGTATTTTTATGAAAATGTTTGAGCATACTGTAGTCTATATATTTATGCACCCGTTTTCCCTCGGTACGTTTTCCTCAGTCTCCTTGTCCGATATGTTTGGGCACGCGAATGACTTTAGTGAAGACGAGACGAGAGACTGAAATATTTATATTATAAGATCACTGAACAACTTTCTTCCAGATGTTTTCCAGGCTCGACGATACTGTAATTTTGCATCAAAAACATTATATATGTATACAACGTTGTAATTTTGTCATTTTCCGGTTAAAACGACAAAGTTACATCACCAATAAATTTTTTCATGTATATTTTTACATTGTAGCAAAACATTATACGGAAGGCATTTATGAAATGAAATTTCTCGTTTTATTTGAACCACACACCCTAAGCGTCGCTTTGAAGCGTCGCTTCGCTCGATATAAATCATTTTAGCTTAATTTTTTATCCCCGAAAAGATATAAATTTCCAACCTAGTATATTGACAATTGATAGCGCAGTGGCGGATTTTTATGCCACTACTAGGCGCTGACTACTTACGACAGGCCAACACGATTACTACATTTTGCTCAAGATGTTCATTGTTTCTTACATCCTGTGTACGATGATAAGATTTTCTTACATCGTATCATAGATGAGCCAAAGAAATGAGCTCAGAGACTCCATTGGATTCTAGACATAATTAAGAGCTTCTATAAAGTAAAGTAACAGCCTATATAAATGTCCCACTGCTGGGTAAAGGCCTCCTCAGAGGGAAATAGGGCATAGTCCACCACCCCCACGACCACACTGCGGATTTCACATATCTTTTTTTTTTTAAAAAAACATTGCCCTTACTTTAGGATAACATTATCCTGTGTTGTAAGGAGGTTTTACAAACATAAATTTCACGCGGACAAACACCCAGATCCGCAACAACTATCTGTGGGTCACACAAACAGTTGTCCCGTGTGGGAATCGAACCCACGACCCCTTTACGCCGAAGCCAATAACTTGGAAACTGCGCCACGGAGTCATCAATACCTAGATCACGTATCACATATCTTTGATATATTTCTTTTTGCTATTATTTCGATAACATGCAGGTTTCCTCACGATGTTTTCCTTCAACGCTGAGCTCGTAAAGTCAGCACATAAAACTAACAATTTCATTGATGCCAGCACCGGGGATCAAACTCAGGTTGTTCAAGTATATTGATTTAAAAAAAGCGCAATGATCTGTCACGGCTCTTGTATGTTAGCTGTCAAATCATAAATGAAACCACCACCCTCTAGAACAATGTTATAATATTCAGTAGAATCATAGAAAACAAAAAAACACTCAAAATGTAAACCACGCAGAATAAAAAGCAAACGCAATAACCATATCAGAACAGAGATGCAATTTGGGCGAACGGAGAACGGAACAAAGAATTTTCTTACGCGACTTGTCGGATGGAGGTCTTCTACCTTTTCCTGTGTCTATGCTCGGATCGAGCGCCGTTCGTCTTCGACGGCTTCTCCTTGTAACGGGTGTCATCTGAAAGCGCGGGAATGTACAGTACGTCTTTCTAAGGATCTGCAGATAAGTCTTAAGATCAAAGTTTTCAAAAACAAAATATTTTTGGCATGGTTGAGTTGAGAGCTTTGAAAGTTTACGCTGATATTGTCTAATACGAAACAAATGAAAATTGAATAGTTGAAATTTGTAGAAAATGTGCACGAAAATATATTCTCCGCTGAGATTCGTTTCCACGTTTTCGGGATTTGCGTCCGGATGCTTTAGCTACTATGCTAAACGGCTGCATTGCTCCGCATCTACTGTTATCTCCTTTACAATGTGTGTCTACTGAAAATACTGTAAACGACAAACATTTTCAAATATCATTTTACAACGATAATTCGAACGAGTCATATCGCCATTGCTATTTGAAATTTAATTTTTTATAGTGCTAATCTCTGCATTTAATATGAAACATTAAAACTTATAGAAAAAATGGACGAAGAAAAGATATTCGCCGCTCCGGGAATCGAACCCATGTCTTCCGGATTCGCGCCCGGACAATTAACCGACGAAAATGTCAACGTATTTTATCCACATTGTTTTATCACATTTTGGAAAATTGGATAATTGCTTCGTGTCTAGTGGGCCAGTTGCAAGACGCGACAGCAAAATGCCGTTAGTTACAGTCAATCCAAGATGTTCTTAGTAAACGCCGCTGTAGATGGTTAGTAAGTTTTTACCATCAACTACAATATCCCTCTGCCAGATCAAGGACGGTACATGCTTGACAGTGAACGTTGGCTCTCTTACACAGGACAAACAAAAAGATCAATAAGAACTTGGTCTCTCGATAAACACACATCACCATCGTTAGCGTCGCGCGGTCGGTTAAGTAGCGGGTCAGTTACCTCGCTCCTTGCGGCGGTGTCGCCTGTCCCGGGAGGCGCGCGAGTCGGGCGAGGAGCGGCGCCTTGGGGGACCCTCCGCCCACCACCAGGCCGGTGGCGCGGACGCCCGCCCCCGCAGCCCCTCCGCGCCCACCGCGCCCCCCGCGCCCCCCGCCGGCATCGGGCACGACGCCTACGTCACAATGTGGCAAACCAGCATACGTCGTCATTGTGAGGTCGTTATGAAAGTTACGAAGTTATGTCACTAACGGCCGTTCGTTGAATATAGCAACCGCGCATAAATAGTGCGGTGGGGCCGCGCACCAGTCTTCGCCGTAGCACGAATGGCCAGGTCCATCCGGGGGAGTAGACGTCGCAGAAGACCGGCGCAAAGTGGATGTGTTACACTTGTGCATTTGTGGGGTAGCCGGAGCCCAGTTTGTTAAAGGGTGGCTACGCAACTGCCTACGGGTGTCGCAAATGTCTTCACTAAACATCCAGTTAACTGCCAGCTCGCTTACCACCTTCTCACATTAAATAAAATTGTAGAAAAATGAACCACAAGCTTTTCGTCGCTGCATAGATTTGATCCTGCGCAGTATGGTTTACGTGCCCGACGGTCTAGCCACAGAGCAAATATATAACAGCAAGCGGTTCACATGTTGAGCAGTTACCGCCAGCCATGGTGGTCACTAGAATCCACCTCTAAAAATGAACCCTGTTCTAAGCACTCGCCTGTCGAAATGTAAATAACCTAAGAACTAAGTACAGAAGTACTTTCACGCTTGGCATTAGTGTTGAGTAAGATGTGCATAAAATTAAAATGAGCATAACCTTTAAAATCAGCCTGCATTCATTCGATTAACCAAATTAAATCCAAAAGAATAAGTGGTAACAACTAAGCCACACCAACTTTCTACCACCAGTAGTCAAGGTAATATCCCCATTCAAAAATTAGATATTTCGCCAAGAAAGAGTGAAATTCTTTAGTATTACATAAATACTTTTCTTAGTCGCGCATTATCATGTTAAATGAAACGTTCAAATATTAATAGAAATATTATAAACGAGTGTATGCGTTTGTCACAGCCCTACCGGTTGGTACGTGGGGGGGAGTCGGTACTGGGCCGGGGGAGGGGCGCCTTCCCCCTCGGCGCAGAGGAGGGGCGGGGGCGCGCGCTGCGGACTCTCCGGCGTCACCAACTGCGATATACTGGATTCAGTCATTTTAATCGACGACTAAAGGCCCATTTACACGATGCCATTTTCTTGTACATACAAGAGCAATAATTGAATGCAATAAGTTGCACGCAATAATTGACCATCAAGAATTGTAAGCAACAGTTTACACGCAGATATAGTAAAAAAAATTGAATGCGATTATTGAATGCAAGTCTTGACAGGAAATAATTGCAAAGGTCTTTTGTTTACACCAATGCAATTATGTTTAGGCGATTATTGCTTTCAAGTTTTGACTTGTCTAAACACATGCTTGTATGTGCGTGTACAATTTATTGGCGTGTTGCTTCAAGTATTGCACGTATTTGCGTTGACAAATTTTTCATGCAAGTGTTGAACGTTTTACAAATGGCTGTTTTTTTTAAAAATGGCTCAATAATAAGTGTTCAAGTTAGATTATGCCGATTAAATATATTTCATTGAGATTTATTTATTATGATCCATATATTATTATTCATATTTTTATCCAAACTTTTTTTACGACCTTTTCTCAATATTTCTATCCTCAAAAGAACAGCAATGATTAAATACCGCCACTCATTGCACTAATTTTTGCAAAGGAAGAGAGAATGCAATTGAATACAAGAATTGCTTAAGAAATTATTGTGTGTGCTGTTTACACCAAGGAAAGTTTTGAAACAAAACTTGAAGCAAGTCTTGTTCAACAGTCAAGAATGTTATGTGCTGTTTAGACAATGCAACTCATTTATTGCTTCAATTTAATTGTATATAACAGGCAAGAAACTTGCACCGTGTAAATGGGCCTTAAGAATAAGAAGAACATAAAAAAGACAGAAAAGAGGATAAATTAAATTTCAGAAACTGGGCTTGAATTGCTCCACAAAATGTGTAATGAGCAATACTATAAACTCTAATATATTTTAACCTAATAAGTAAGGTAGATATAGCTTATATTATTCACGTTACACTAAGCTTCATAATTTACACGTCTGCAAGTATATATATCCACTAATTTTCTTACTTAAATTTTGCACAAGTTTCCGCTAAATTGTCAGCTTTAGGTTTTTGCGCATTACATTCCGATAAAGGAATTAATTTGTTGACGCGGAAAGAAAACAAAGTGTGCTGACGCCAATGTACTAGTTTGGATTTTGAATATTAACTTAGATTTGTCTTGTGTATCAAAATTAAATTAAAAAAAAAAAAAGATAACATGACCGCAGTCTTGCCGGTTCTTCTCTGGTCAGGTCTAGTTCAATAGTAACCGGTGGTAGTTTTTTGACATCAATAAGCCTATATTGAATAAGATATTTCGACTTGGTCTTCGATATTATTATTCGCACTTGAAATTATATTGAAAAGAGTGGTATTCTTTTGGTGTTCTTCCCCATAGAAAAACTGCGGTAGTCGCGAATACACAATTTTAACTCGATAATGATAAATTTCTTGAGACGAAAATAATTGCAGATACGAGTATTAGGGTTCACCTAACTATGGTATTTCTAAGTACATATCCAATCAATATTAAACACTAGCACTTAGATATTACATTCCAAATGTATATCATTATTTATCGGTAACAATTCATTTAATAATTATATTATAATATGGCCCACATTATTAAGAGGTGGCAACGCATCTGCAACCCTACAGTGTTGCAAATGTCCATGAGCAGGCGGTTATCACTTCACATCAGGTGGGCCACCAGCTCGTTTGCCACTTTCTCACATAAAAAAAGTTATATTAATTGCGGTGAAATAAAATGGCGCATTTCACTCGAGCACGAACTTGCTTCTTGAGCGAGTTGAAGTCATTGCTCATGTCCCGGTAGCGTTGTAGGCACTCCTGCCACATGCTGGCCATCTCGGCCATCTCCGAGCGCTGCTTGTTGATCTCCTCCTGTAGTAGGCATTTATGATACGTGTTATATTCTATTGCTCCTACTCAATTTAGACTTCTCAAATATATAAACAATATAAGGATACGCATTCACAGGACTAGCAACTTACACGCGATCCTCTGTGTATTGTCCAAAATAATCGTATGTAATTTTATTAAATCATGGACTTTACGACCGAAAGACTACTATTATGCAAACATAATAAAAAAGGGTATCACCAACGTCACTTGTCGACGCCTTCGTATGCCGTACACACTTATATATCCTTGTATATCTTTTTATAAAAGGAAAGAGCTTAATTTTCTGCATACACGACATTATTACCGAGACTATAACAATGGCATTTTATATTCAGACGCGCAATACACCGACGTCATTGCAACGACAAACTATCGTGAATATTACTAACGATACCAATTATATTGATGGGTAAAAAACATTAAAGCAATCATATTATAGTATGACTGTTATATGGAATAAAATGGACCCCGGCTCCCTCACTCGCCAGACGAAACGCAAAAGTGTAACACTTACTTACTAACAAGTACCCGGACGGACCTGCCCATTCGTGCAACAGTGGAGGCAGGTGCGTGGCCCTACCACCGCAGATATAGCTATCCGAGTAAACCGTATCTCGCAGCTACGTGTCTGTCAGCCAACTGCTCGTTTCCACCCACCATTAGCCTGGCGTCCGTGTCTCCGACGTCCCTCGCGACCGTCTCGTACCGCCGCATGCACTCGCGCCACAGCCTGAGCTGTTCCGCGGCCGAATCGCGAACGTGCTCGGCCTCCTGTTAAAAAAAAAAATTCCGGGACACATTTTTACACAACTTTATATAGTTCAAAACTGAACAAAGCTTGTAATATGGGTACTAGTTAACTGATAAACATAATCAAACAACTTTTCTTTTGCAAATAAATACGTTAGTCATATAAACACCCAGACACTAGAAAAACACTGTTCATGATATTAGTGGGGATCGAACCTACACCCTGGCGCAAGAGACAAGTTGACTATCAGCTACGCCAATCGGGTCGTTTGTTGGATATCTAGTTTTTTCTACTGTGAGTCAATGAACAACCAGCGAGATATATTCCACAGGGAAATAACGAAACATCCCTGCATATATTAGTTACTCGCGTTATGAATTATATGTGCGACAAGTGATAGAAATAGATTGTGAGCGTGACGTCACAATAGCCAAACACAAAAAAAAATAATCATTTTTTTTACAATCATAATCGATTGCTTAATTAATAGTTAGCTTTTCGTATAAATGACCGGATCAAATCAAATCAAATCAAAAATATCTTTATTCAAATAGACGCTTGCGCGTTCTTATGAAACTTCAAAAAAATAATTACATAAAAAATTATATATTATATTGGTTCGTAAGGCACCACCGGTTCGGAAAGCAGTTTGTGTTGAGAAGACACCGGCAAGAAACTCAACAGTTCATTATAGTTAACGACGTTATATCTGTCACGCGTATCGACACTATTTTACAGTCTTCGGGACACAAATGTCAGTAGTAATAAGGATGTGCAAATCCGACGTCTTATGCATATATTGCTATCTGCACTCTTGTCGACTATGAGTCATAACTACCTGCTACCTTCATTAGGCGCATTGATAAGTACTTATTTACGTTTAGGTAACACATTGACCTCGATTAATAATTTTATGCGAGTTATTTTTGCAAAAAGTCTTATCGTAACACTCATCGTTTTCGAATTCCCACTATCTACGCACATCGCAACATAGAGGTCAACGACTTAGTACATAGCGCGGCGACCATAGCTGGGACAGTACATAGTAGTATTACATATTACACACACATTCAATATTTTAGATTAGACTTTCCAATCAAATGTAGTGAAACATAATTGATGAAACATAATTTCCACCCGTCCTGGGGGGAAATTATGTTTCATTAATTCATTATGAACCTAAATATAAATGAAATGCATTTTTATTATATGTAACAGAAATATGACACAAATGTGTGTGTACAGTGTTTTTAACACAACTTGACCATAAAAAGCTATTGGTAACGCAAAAAAAATTACTAGTATTTTTAATTGTTATGGCTCCTACACACTATGTCGGCGGCACAGCCGGTTCTACGATAGTTTCTTTAATGTTTTAGTTCATGCAATAACTTAGTGAGTATTCTATTGGTGATACCTGAACAGTTTTCTCTTGACCCTGAGCCTGCGACATGCCCTTGAAACATCGCATTAGCTCCTTCCACAGCTTCATCATCTTATCCATCGCCTCCCGCTGCTCGGCAATCTCTTGCTGCAAGCATGTTAACGCTCGATACGATTTTTCGGAGTAAATTTTTTTTAAATCATCCAACGATTACTTTGATATTTTTAAATAACCCTAATACGAAAAAACAATTGCGTTATTCGAACCTGCGACTTCTGTTTCCGCGCTAAGACGCTTTACCAACCAAGGTAGGCGGCCGATAACCTCACATTAAGATATAATTAAATTTTATATGGTCAATTTATATAATTATATATTTTTAAAATTTTATTACAATTCCTTCACTAATTAATCGAAAGGAACTCCGTTCCATCCGGGTGTCCCTTGACACCTCTCAATTTTTTTTTATCTACTAAAAGACACAATTTAAAATGTCACTTTGGTAACGCCACGCAAGCCTTCGCTGAGGCACGACAGAGCAGGTACATGTGGGGAAGTAGTACTACAATCTCTCAGAAGACCGGTGTGAAGTAGAAGTGTTATACTGCGCTTCCTAGGGTGAATGAGATAACCGAAGAACACTTTATTATAAGGTGGCAACGGATGCTCAACCCTAAGGGTGTTGCAAATGTCCATGAGCAGCGGTTATCACTTAGCATAAATGAACCGCCAGATTGCATGCCACCTTCTCACATAAAAAAGTTTCATCTTCAGTTTAGCACTTAAAGTAAAAATCCTTACTATAATATTATAGACGCAAAAGTTTGTATGTATAGATGGATGTTTGTTACTCTTTCACGCAAATACTAATGAATAGATTCTAATAAAACTTTACAATAATATAGCTCAAATATATATCAAAATATCACATAGCCAAAAATTTATATACCTATTTTTATGTGGCCACGCCGCAGCCTCATTTTTCACGGTGGTAGGGCCACGCAGCAGCCTCGGCTGTTGCATGAATGGGCAGGCTCGTCCGGGTAAGTACCACAACCTCACAGAAGACCGGCTTAAAGTGGAAGTATAATACTTTCGCGTTTCGTCTGGTGCGTGAGGTGGCCGGAGCACAATTTCCAAAAAGGTTGTCAACGCATCTGGAACCCTCGGGTAAGCAGATGTCCATGGGCGGTGGTATTCACTTAACATCAGCTGAACCGTCTGCTCGCTCGGCAATTTTTCACATAAAAAAAAATGTATATCTGTCTTTCTGCCTGAATGTTACGCCTTCAGCCTATGCTACGCAGACGTAGTCTCGGGCAGCAGCTAGTTAATCCTAAAACTAACAAAAAATGCAGAACAATAGAGCTTGATGATAATCACCTTGACCACTCTCATGTAATTACTCTTGCCGCTCACAGTGCTCGTCTCGCCGTCGGCGCCGCTCAGGCCCGAGTCCCTCTCCCTTTCGGACAGTCTCTCTCTTTCATCCACATCCCTGGACACGACTGAACTCCTATCAGACTGCTCCAAGTGCCTGCGCGACTTCAACCTCTGAGACAAGCCGTATACGCGGTCTTTTAATTCCACCGGCTTATCCTCGTAATATCTGTCTCTGTGTCTGTCGCAGTAGCGCCTGTTTCTCTGCACTTCGGGTCGCTTCGCCCTGTGTGGATCGCTCCTCGACGTTGCCCTCACTTCATCCGCGTACTCCCGTTGAATCTCGAAGCTCCTGCTCGCCTTTTGTTCGCAATATCTCTTTCTGTCGTCGCCGTATCTATCTCGCACCGGTTCCCTTCTTTCGGGGTAGTCTTTGTACGCCCTATGGTCTGGCCTATGCAATGCGTAGCGGGCGTCGACGCAGCTCCCGGTCGGCGTGAGGTCTTGCGGGTATCCGCGGTACGCGTCCTCGACCATGTGCGACCTAGACTTGGCGATCTCCATCTTACAGTTGCTGCCGTACCTCCTGTTCTGGGGCGAACAGCAGACGCACTTCTCCGCGTAGTCGTGACGCTCTACTGCCGGTGTGCAGCTGTCTTTGTCGCGCATCGGGCTGCGAAAGTTTTCGTGGCTGCGGATCCTCGAGAGGGGTGAGATTTCCCTCTGGTTTTGAAGCTTCGTCGGGCTTCGGCTGGCGTCGTACGTGTCCCGCCTAGGCACCACTTCGCACTGCAGCGACTTGTGACTGATAGTTCTGGACTGGAAATTTATTATAGAATGTTGAAGTATATAAATACAAATACAAAAATGTTTATTTCATTTACATATTTCTTTTACAGTTAATAAATATTTGGAGCTACCTTTTAAGCAACAGTTTTGCTTGTGTTAGGCAGCACCGCTCTTCCATAGCATACTTATAATAAACTTAACTAAGTGCAGTACAATTTTTTAAAACTAATTTCAAAAATAAAATAAAATAAAAACATTTTCTCTCCGTGTGTGTGTATGTTAGTGTATGTGTTAGTGTATGTGTTAGTGTGTGTGTTAGTGTGTGTGTGTGTTAGTGTGTGTGTTTGTGTTAACTCAACATCAACTCAATATCAGCGTAATTTTTAGCTTTTAGCCATTCCATAACTGCAATTTTGCATTTTGTGTATGTCATTTCATAAATATTTAGTTCTTTATTGATTTCATTGTATAAGACAATAGCTCTTGTGACATATTGCCTCTTAGCAAAAACTGAATTTACTCGTGTATGTTGCACCATGTTACATTTTTTTCTAGAATTATTATCTACATGTTGGTAAGGAAGCGATTTGTGTTTACTCAGCACAGTGTTCAAAATATATAATTTTCTAACAGTTAATAAATCAGTAGAAGAGTAAAGTAAGTCTGTTGAGAATTCTCTTGGCTTTATATAGATAACCTTCAGCAATGATCTCTGAGCTCTCTCCAAGTCTAGAAATCTAGTTTTGACTGCCCCATCCACACAGTTATGCAATACGTCAAGACAGATTGTGCTAGAGATATATATGTTAGACGGGATAGGTGTTCAGAAGCCACATGCCGTAATGTTCAAAAAAGTCCATATAAGTTTTCTTATTCTAATCAAAAGAAGTTCAATGTGACCATGCCATGACAGTCGCTGATCAAGTATAACACCTAAGTATTTTGTACTAGTTACTCTTTTAAGTTCGGCACAGGAGCAAGAGAATGTAGAATTTTTATCACATTGGTGGACAACTATTCGAAAATCAAGCGAGGGTTGGCCGCATTTGTTCTTGGTGAAACAAATATAGTTACTTTTTTGAACATTAAGTGACAAAAGATTTGTGTTCAGCCAAGTAGCAATATTAGCCAATCCCGTTTCAGTCCTTGATTTTAAACGTTCCCAATCCTTAGCTGCAAAAACAATAGCTGTGTCATCCGCATACGAAAAAATGTGACCTCCATCAATTTGCATATTACAGAGCTTATTTATGTAAACAAGAAACAGAGTAGGACCCAGCACACTGCCCTGAGGCACCCCATAATTAACAGTACACTCAGAACTTAATCTTAACCCTACTCTGACTCGCGAATTACGATTAGTTAGGTAACTCTCTAGTAGTATACTTTACTTTACGACGGGTGAAAACTAAGATACAGGGAATCCTGTTAACCATTGCTCGACGTGCCAGGGAAAATTAATAATGATCCTTAAAAAATTCAAAATGAATAGTTCCACGTGTAACATTAACACAACTAAGTCTAACGCCTACAAAATAGGTAGGTAAAAATAATATTAACTTTTAATGTAACTAAATTGAAAAGCTAATAGGGAACCAACAATTTTGATGAAGTTGTCACCAACGTCACCAATGTAATTTTTTTTGAGCAAGAAGGCACAAATAAGAAAGTGATATTAGCATCTAAGAAATGGAAAAAATAATCATCAGAACAAAAAAAAATGACTTACAACAGCTGACTCTTTAAAACGCGAGGTCTTGCTGTTCATTTGAGCGCATAACTGCGCGAACGTTTCCAATAGAACACTTTGATCTATTACTGGTGCGGCTGGAGTTTCTTTCGGACGCGAACTACGGCTGAAATGTAATCATTGGTTTGGTGATCAGCAAAAGTCGTTTTCGTACAAATAACTTGAAGTAGTAGTTGAAGTTTGAAGACCAAAGACAAAATATACTGATGATAAAAATTATGTTCATTTCTCGTATGAGTTGCAAGGGCTCGGTTGTCTCTGCTCATATACATTAATATATGTAAAAAGATTAAAACTTTAATAAATTAACATAAAGAGATCGCTCAATGTCGCTCAGCGAGCCATGGAGCGGTCTTTGCTCTGTATTTCTCTGCGTGATAGAGTTCGTAAAAAAGACATCCGCAGTAGAACCAAGTTAACCGACAAAACTAAGAGGACTGAAGTGGCGATGGGCCGGCCATATAGCTTGTAGAACCGATAAACTTTGGGGAAAACATTGTGAGGTTATAGCGTATTTTAGAACTATTAAAGAAAAACATATCGAAGAAAGTAAAGCCAATCCCAGTGGGGTTGCGTGCTGGACTATCCCCTTTGCCAAGCAGTACATATTATACAGGGTGTAGTATAAGTGTATCCATTTTTTTATTCAATTCTAGACATAAATAATGTTATATAAAAATAAGAAATATTTAAAATCGTAAGTAATTAATTACATTCATTTGAATTTATTTAAAAAAGTGCGTGATTTATACGCAACTCATTTATTTTACGCGCGATAATTCATAACTAACAAGTACACAAGTTCGTGCACAGTAAAATTTAGGTATTTATGAATGACTTCCGCCTTGTCAACAAGTTCTGTTTTTAGGGAATACACTGGCTTTTTTTTTTAAAGTGTGTTTTTTATTTCAATAAACGATTATACTACCGAGTCTGAACCTCCTGTGTGAATTTTGGGTACCTCTCAAAAAGCCTCCCTATATAGGCTCCCTATATATACTATACTGTATATATACTGTCTGATCCCGTGATCTAACCGGTTAGCCCTAGTTCCCTCGTAGTAAAAAAAAGAAAGTATCAGCCCATATACGTCCCACTGCTGGACAAAGGCCTCCTCTGTACAGAGGGTATCAGGGTATAGTCCACCACACGGCCTCATTGCGGATTGGCGGACTTCACATATCTTCGAAATATTTTTTTCTTGTTATTACTTCGGAAAAATGCAGGTTTCCTCACGATGTTTTCCTTCACCGCTGAGCACGTGATAATTCGGCATTTAAAATTAACAATTTTACTGGTGCCGGTGAGGGAATCGAACTAATGTTGCTCGAGTATATTGAATTAAAGGCGAGCGCCCGGACACTGAGCTATCACGGCTCTACTGTTCCCTCGTACTGACAAGGATACCAAACATTTGAAGTAAGTTAGTCGGGTATCGGGATCAAACAATCGATCAATCGATATCAGCCTATTGCCGTCCACTGCTGAACGTAAGTCTCCCCCAAAGAGCGCCAACTATCCCGGTCCTGGGCAGCCCGCATCCATCCGCTGCCCGCCCCCTTTCTTAAGTCGTCGGTCCATCTTGCTGCAGGTCGTCCCACACATCAAACAATAGTACATTATTAAGCAAGTGTTAGCACGTTCATTTACTCGTCACGATCTCTAGCCGGCGCAGAGTCCTCACGGTGACGCCTCCGGTGGTGGCGGTGGTCCCTGGTCGCTGAGGCACCGCGCTCGCAACTTGCTTTACGCTCCTCGTGCCTTCGCATGTGACGTTGTCTGTCAATGAATATCATGGCCTCGTAATATTCGCCGCGGCGGATTTCGTCATCAAAAATCCTAAAGCTCCTAAGCTAGTATTCCCTAACCCTTTACCAAAGTAAACGGATTTGCATCAAAGTTGGCATAGTGATAGCTTCACATTTAGCATTCATAATTTTTTTAAATACGAATAGAGTACTTAATTCAGATATCAAAACTTTACTATGAGTTTTTGGAGAGTTCCTCCTTGAAATTACACTACTGTACTAACACATAATCTACCTATTTAATTATAAGCGATTTACGTTATTCAGTCAAAAAAAAATACTTTTAGAATTGTTATTATTATAATTTTGCAAAGTCTCACTCACTTCTTCTTGTCTCTTTTAATTGCCTCTTCCAGAAATTGATATATGAAGGAATCCTGATCCTGGGGCACTGATTCAATGGCGGCATCTTCTTGCTAAAATGCAACTATATTAAAAGACTTATCGTTGAAAAAAAATAACTCAAATATATAGATAAACCATACCCTAGAAGGACTAGTAGAACGAGGCGTAGAGACAAGGCCAGCTTTGAGTGCTAACGATATTCCATCCCTCCTGCAAATCCCACAAATAAATTGTATTTTAAAACAATAGATTTCGTCTTAAATATTCAATTTACTTATTTCTTTTTTTTTAAGTTGACTAAACGCACGTACGCGGGTAGTTAAAAAAGTTTAAAATGAAATAATGTAAATAATATAGAATGCATAATTTCTTCTGAGCCTCGATGGCACGGGTTCACATTTGCTTGAAACAAGCCTAAATTAATTAAAAATGATTGACATTGATTGTGAAAATGATAAAAAAAAATTCATGGACATGATATTTTCACAATGGCCTAAAAAGCCGAGGAGATGATCCTTTATTTCATGATCTTTTTTTTGTGTGAGAGGTGACAAGCGAGCCGGCGGTTCACCTGATGTTAACTAATAATCGCCACCCATGGACATTGCAACACCGGTAGGGCTGAAGATGCGTTGCCACCTTTTAATAGAGTAATAATAAAATTTTAAAAAGGACCTAAGAACCTTCGATTTTTTTATCGAAGGTTCTTAGGTCCTTTTTATTAGGGCCGTTATCTGTCGACTTACGTAGATCGTCTATGGCGTCTTGGCGAACGCGGTGCACGGTGCACGTCCACCGGGGATGTGGCTGGGCTGCTATCCCTATTTACGTTATAATCACGAAAATATACTTTTGAAGAAACATCAGCTTACGTAAATTGAAACCCGCGTTATAGAAGCAATTAGCAATTGCGGCAACTACCCATTGTGGCCGACACCAATATTGACACTGCTTCAATAAATATATTGGTATTTAAAAAAAAAAGGTGTCGCGTCCTCTCACATGCAAGGATTTACCTTTGTCTATTTGGGACTGTGCTCATGTATTCCCAAACGTGAGATATGGCACTGTACACTAAAAAAAATGTGAGACAGTGATGATATAAATGTGAGTTAGTCCAGCCACAGTTGTTTGAAATCGTTGTGAATTTGTGGCATTTAAATTTGCCACAAATGAATTATTAGTTTTGAAATAATGCTAAGAATAAGTATACGGCTACTACTTCTTATAATTATTTAGGAATTTTTTTTCCACTATTGGATAATCTCTCAACTGTGTGTCAAATCTAATACCTTTAAACGAGTAATTTTTGTATATACCTATATATAATCGGATCTCGGAAACGGCTCCAGCGATTTTCATGAAATTTAATATGTGCGTAGATTCGGTGCGAAAAATCTATCTAGCTAGGTTTCATTTTTAGAAAATGTACTTTTATCCCTGTTTTCAGGGAATGAACAAATATTATTCGAATACGACGGTAAATTTGGATGAAAAAAAAAAATGTTATAATAGCTCGGTCGGTAATCGGACGGCCCCGAAACAGAAGGCCGTGGTTCGTGTCACGATCATTTACTCACTTATTTTTTTACTTTTTTTTCGATTGCAGATCATTGCTTTCTTTATTTTTTGTCGATCCAGATGATTTTGTTACTTTTTTCCCTTTTTTTTAGTTCTTTCTTTTGTCAAAAACACCAGTTCATATTTTATTATTATTACGTCGGTAAGATCGAAAAATATTATGCATATTTAATAACATGATTTACCAAAAAAATCACCGAGCAAAGCTCGGTCCTCCAGGTACTGTTATTTATGTCTGTAACAATCAAAATATAGCAAAAAGTAAATTATCATGAAAAAAAAACACCTTGAGACCCAATTTACAAACTTAACAGTACATTATAATAAATTATTTTTATTTCCTTTTAAAAACATCTACCGAATGTTAGGGTACGTGTTTTCCTTCCTTATTTTACTTTTTACAATATCTACAAATATTCGGCCGAATACGAAAGTTCTAGTTATCATCTCTGGTAATATACAAATTCTACGTTTACTCAACCTGTTTGTATTAGCTGTTAGGTCGCCTGGACCCGGGGTTGTATTTTGCAAACTGGCCTTCGCCGAGCAAACTCGACGTCCGTTTACCTTAGAACCCTAAGAATGACGGTGGTTTACATCAACTACTTGTTTTTCATGTCTTTGTCTAACTTTTAGTTCAAAAACGTAAGGATAGCTGTACAAAATCTTGGCTATCTAAGGAACATTAGTTAATATCTACTGATATCAGAAATGAGAGTATTTTTAATGTAAGATGACAAGCAAGCTGGTGGTTCACCTGATGCTAAGTAATAACCACCGCCCATGGACTTTTGGAACACCCGTATGGTTGCAAATGTCCAGTGTCAGTTGCATGGTCCTACCACCGTTAGGCTGATATTAAGCGATAACCACCGCCACCCACATTAGACATTTTCAATATCCGTAGGGTTGCAGATGTGTTGCCAGCTCACCAGAAGAAAGGCAAAAGAATAACACTGTTTAGATCCTACTATAATACATTTCATAAAATAATATGCACGAAATCCACCCAACAATGACTTATAGCAATCAGAATAGTTATGCTGCCGTTCGATGCATTTTTTCTGCAAAGGGAATCATTTCGGAGATGAACTTCATTCAGAACCGTAGTGAAACCATTCAAAATCCTTGATATAAGTATCTAAACATTTATTTTTTTATATAATATAAAGAAAAAAAAAAACACATTATTTTGAGATATTTCAGAGAACTTAGAACAATCTTCCTGAGGCTTAAAATCCCGGTGCATGCCCACACCAAGTGATAAATCAGGATTTAAAATAGCAACTAACAATTTTAAGTGCTGATTTTATAATGTGCGCCTCAGAGAATGAAACCATGTTTTCGAAAAAGAATATTTACGGAATATTTATATTTCACGGAGAAGTCTATGCCCTCCTAGCCAATTTTAAAGTTTTTGCAACAATTACTGTATAAGAGGAAAATAAAAAAATATATTATTCACAAAAGTAAGTAATGTACGCTTGCCTGAGTTTAGTTGGTTGAACTAACTTTCAACCATACTTACGTTTGTAGAGTCATCGGTGGCCAAAGAGTTGCTGTCGTCGATACCGTCGCGTTTTTTCCTTATGCGCTTGCGTTTTGCGGCATCGAATACTTTGAACAATTTTTTACTATCGCTTGGTTGACATTCCATCTTATATCCTCGAAGAGATCGCAATACATCAGAGCAAATTAACTTAATCTAATTTATTCATTACTCTTAACGGTGCTAAAATGTTTATCAAGTTATTGGCAAAGTTAAATGATATATCGGAATTTTAACAATTTCTTGAACCAAATACACACGGACTTATATGATAGATGTCAATTTTGAGTAGAAATGTTGAAAATAGAACTCTGCTAAAAACATCTATCAACGATATTTACATATATGCCAGATAGGTGTCAAAAATGTACAGGTGGTCAACAACTTCAACTTTTTTCAAATTCTTCTAGAAGATAGTGATTGCCCATTGTCTACTAATTTATTTCTTCTTTGGATATCCAAAAATATCTAACAGATCGAGTAACGCTTCAGGTAAAGAACTTTTTTTGTAAAATAAATAATAGATTTCTTTATTTTCCTATAAAATATTCCATTATCAAGAATTGTGTTCAGTTAATTTGTTGTAAAATAGTAGATTTCCGAAAATAATACTACAGTGACCGGCCATAAAGTTTGACAACAAAGTACTTTGAAACAACGTCTGAATCTAAAACAGAACAGTCCACCTCAAGGAAAATAAATAGTTATTAAAATTATAGTTATTATACTGCAGGTGGCTCAGGATCGTGCTTCGTGGCAGTCTGTGGCGGAGGTCTGTATTCAGTAGTGGACTCTACCACGATGATGAAAATGGTGAAGATGATATTGGCGGTGATGATGATAATACTGCATTATTAGTAGGGATAATAGAAGTTGGTTTGATTTATTTACTATTTTTAACGGAATAATAGAACTGCTTGACTCACGTACAATCATTGTATTTACAAACTAGTTTCAGTGCGAAAAGTCGCGCCGCCGCGAACTCGTCCGGCTCATGCGAAACTAGTAGGCACCTACATACTCCGATTGTACGCGAGTTAATCATATTTATTATTCCGTTAATAATGTCTCACGAAACTTTTAATAATTTTACTACTCTCTTTTTGTTAGGCTCCACAAGGTATCAAAATTTAAATGTGATATTTTATAACACATATTTGATGCTTTTTAATATTTTACTATTCGGACATTAAAATATAGTGTTATTATTTTGTAATATGTATTTTAACGACCGACGACGAATGCCAACAACAACTTGTTTGATCAACTTTGTCAATTCATAAAAATAAACATAGATTACTTACAAGACAATTTATTACTATTCTTACGTGCCAAATGCGGTGAAAGAAAAAAATAAACTCGAATTTCGTGATGCGTCACAGGTGTTGGGCGCCGAGATGTGGCATCTCTAGGCCGGCCGACATTTTGACTTTTAACCGACTTCAAAATAGGATGAGGTTCTATGTTAGACTGTATGTATTTTCTTATCATTCGTTAGGTTTTACAAAGTTAAATATTTTGAACAAAACGTTATTATGAATAATTCCAAAAGATTTTTGATATTGATCAACCAACCAAACTATTTACTCTTATAACAGAAACTTCCACGGTCGCAATTTCTATGCTTTTATACTTTTAGTTTTCTTGGCGATAATTAGTTTAACACCAACAAGAAAATGCAGCTTCTAAGAATCGTCTTTTTGTAGAAAATTAATTATTTTTATTAATTTGTTAAAAATATTAGCTTGAATAAAAATTTGACGATGTGTTTCATAGTTAGTTCCGATTGTTTTCCGCTTATTACTTTTTTAAACTTGGAATTTGGTTTTCATATTTTGCTACATATGATCATTTTACTATCCGTATTTTAACGATAGTTGCGCGATAGTTTATCCAATACATTAAAATATGGCGAGGTTTTAAATAAACAATGAATGAAAATTAAAACGAAATGGTATTGATTTAAACAGAAATATTTTTTTTGTAAATTCGAAATACTATATTTTCATCCTCATTCAATTTCCCATCGTATACCACACAAGTCTTATCCAACAGGATCGTCAATGAGCAGATCGAAATTATTTAATAGGTGCATTCATTTCAACTTAGACCTTCAAAAGCATTAAACATAAATAACAATACATAATTGAAACTGTTTGGTCGTTTAGGCAGATATAGGAGTATCATTTTCACAAGTTTTTTCAAAAATTCGATATCTTACAAAAAATTTATGCTACAAATCCATTACCGCCTAGAAACAATTTTGAATATCAGAAAGGTGATCAGTTTAAAATGCCAATTCACAAAAAAAAGTAAAATCCAGATTCAATTTCAATATATTATAGATTATTGTAATAATTCACATTAAACTTAACTAAACTTATAGCCCACATAAGCTCCTCACACTCTCCACTACTATTTCTCTTATAGACAAAGGCGCTAAAGGTACTTGGTATAAAATCTCCATCATAAAACCAATAAACAGATTCAAGTCCCATTTTATTATAAAAATCAAAATTACGAGTTATAATACATCTGTTTCTCAATCGAACAATAGAAATCGATTATAGCACATTGACATTCTTGTAAATAAATCATCATGGACATAAATAACAAAAATCGGATTGTACAGCCTAACACTTGAGACACCGCTATAAATGATCTCGGGCTCGCGAGAAACGGGGAACCGAGCGCCGCGTCCGGGGCGCGCGTATCACTATATGTACACGGACACGTACCGACAGGTAGTTCAGTCTCTCTCTAGCGGGCACTGCACTGGCTCACACACTGCACTCTAGTGTTCGTGGTGCGGCTCGAGGTCGCTGCGCTGGCTGCAGTGGTACAGCACGTCGGCCAGCTCGTGGGCCACCTTCTGGTCGAGGATCTGGCTCATGACGAGCGAGAGCAGGCGCCGCTCGTGGCGACGGATGAGCGGCCGGTTCTCCGGGTGCTCGGCCAGCCGCAGCAGCGTGGCGGCCGCGCGGCGCAGCATGTCGAGCGAGGTGCCCATGGCGTCGGGGTTGTCGCGCAGCGCCGCCACGCCGTGCTGGTTGGCCACGCCCAGCGCCGCGTGCTCGGCGCGCTCGATGAAGGCCACCAGCTGCGCCACGGCGGGCGCGTGCAGCGCCACCTCGCGCGCCGCCGCGCCGCCCGCGCCCGCCAGGTAGTGCAGGATGTTGACGGCGAACTCGCGCACCACCGGCCGCTCGGGCCGGCACAGGTCGCGCGCCAGACCCGCGCACAGCTGCGCCACGCGCCCGCGCGGCGGCGTCGCCAACACCAGGTCCACGTTGGCGTCCGTCACGCACAGCTTGCACAGCGCCTCGAGCGCGAGCCGGCGCGGCGACAGCGGCGAGCCCGCGGCGGCCGCCGGCGGCGCGTCGCCCGCCACCGCCGCCGGGCACACGCTCCAGTGCAGCAGCCCGTCCAGCAGCGGCCGCGCCACCGCCTCCGGCTGCCCCGCCAGCTCCACGCTGCCCGCGATGTTGGCGCAGCACACGAGCGCGTCCTCGCGCAGCTGCGCCAGCGTGTCCCACCACCACTCGCCCTCGCCGCGCAGGCTGGAGCAGCACGCCTCCACGTCGGCCTCGTCGCGCGCCGCCCGCTCGTAGGCGCGCGCCCTCGCCGCCCGCGGCGCGTGCTCGTGGTGCAGCAGCAGCAGCTTGCCCGCCAGCGCCAGGAACGCGCTCGACCGGGAGAACTCCGCCTCGTTGCCGGGCACGAACGTGAGGCCGCGCAGGATATTCGAGAGCGCGATGCACCGTTTCGCGAGCGCGTCCCGCGTTTCGTTCACAAGGTTCAAACTGGGTTCGTCCCGCGTGTAGCACTCGTCCTCGTAGTCCTCGAGGCGCCGCCGCTTGAGCACGCCGGCGGGGTCGCGCACGAGCAGCGCGGGCCGCCGCTCGGGCTCCAGCTCCATGGGCTCGGCCTCCAGGTTGTCGGCGTCGCCGGCGGCGCCGGGCGGCGGCGGCGAGGCGGCGTCGGGCGAGCGCGGCGCGGCCGCGTCGGGCGCGGGGCGCGGGCGCGGCGAGGCGCGCGCCGGCGACGGCGGCCGCTCGCCGGGCAGCAGGCGCACGAAGGGCAGCGGCAGGAACTCGCCGCGGAAGCAGGGCACCACGTGCGCGGCGCCCGCCGAGTCGCCGCCGAACTGCCACGGCTCGAGCACGTCCTCCACGCGCTCGCCGTCCGACTCGCAGTCGTCGGGCGCGAAGAGGTCGTCGTCGCTCTTGTACACGACCGGGTGCCGCCTCCTCGACTGGAAGGTGTAGTTCTCGCCGGAGAGCAGACGCACGCCGTCGCCGGGGTCGGGCGGCTCCACTCTTCGGCGCACCTTGGCGGGAGGTTCGGGCGCGGTGGGCGTCGCGTACCACGGCTCGTTCTCGGGTATCGGCGCGTCGAATACGTCGCTTAAACTCCTATGGAAGTGTTCCAGCAGCAGATCCAGGAGACCGGGCATGTGCTGCAGTCCGAAGTAACCTATACAGTTGTCGTCGAAGAGCAAAATGTTCAGGATGTCGAGGGCCCAACACGTTTCCGCGAGTAATCCAGACTTAAGAGCCATCATGATGCGCCACGCGTCCACGGGTGCGACATCGGCTTTGGTAAGCCGCCGCCGTTTTTCACCGGTCGGCACTGTCGCCTCCACACATTCGGGAGGGAAAGTTAACTCTCGTTTGATCTGCCCAGCACCTACGCCCGGAACCGAACCCTGCAAGCAAACATAATAATTTATGTTAACATAATAATTAAACATAATAATTCATTAATAATTCCAACTTGCTGGACATTTTGGGTGTTGCAAAGATATGATTAAATGATAAAATATATATTATTATTAATAAGTATAATTAATTAAATAATTACAACATTATATACATTTATGTATATGATAAATAATCAAAGCACGATCATGCATGTTGAATCAGGAATGTTGCTGCACTAATTACATACAAAATGATACGGTATAATTTTTCTATCTATTAAAATAACATATGAGCACGGTTTAATATGATACATAACACCTAGTAGTTGTGAACTTGTTAGATAAGGTGCAGAAACTAATTTAAGGAGCATGAAAGAACACAACCTAGTGACTTAACTCCCTTTTATTCGAATCCAAATTACAGAAGTGTTTATTTCGGTTAAGCAGTTCCGGTATATAGTATCAAACTTTGTAAAAAAATCAGCTCAACGAGTAACATCGTTGTGGTAACATAAGTATCATTGCTATGTATTATTTACGTAAGGTATATAATTGCTAAGTGCGCGTGTGTACTACAATATAGCAGTGGTGCGAGTGTATGCCGGATGAGCGTCGCGGCGAGTGCGTAAGTGTGGCAGACTGCTCGACTGCACAATTTTGCGTGACTGCTCAAGTGTGCAATTCTGCGTGCCTGCTCGAGTGCGTGCGTTCGCAAATGCGTGGGCATAAGTGCTCGTGTGCGTGTGTGCGTGCACTCACGGGCGACGGCGCGGCGGGTGGCAGCTCCAGCGGTGGCCTCGGCGCGCCCCACGCCGGCCCGCCCGGCGTCTACAACACACACGCGTTAGCGCGCCGCCTAACACGCACGTACACGCTCTGACTACACATCGCGCACGTTAACGACGCCCGCAGCGTAACCCGTTCTTAACGATACCAAACGATCTATTCTGTTGCGGCAGTGAAACTTAAATGCGCCGGTACCTTTCATTTAAATGAATCTATTTTCACAAAACCATAGAGCGATAATTTCGATATCTATGAACTGTGTATTGCGCAATGCGTTGAACGGAACGGTTCAAGAGGGCATTTAATCAGCCTTATATGTATAAAGTTGATCATGAAGTATCAATGGTAATGCGCAACAGCTGTGGTGCGACTTAGTCTTCTACCGCGCATCGTTCAATCGACTAATAAATAATACTTGTGTACAATACTGATGTACAATAAATATAAGCGGATACATATCTATAGATTTAAAATGCGATACATGTTATGTTATTAATATGTTAGATACTAAAAATTGATAGATATTAAGTATATACGAGTAAAGTCAGATATGTTAAATATGAATATGGATACAAAGCATATGTATATGCAAGTTATTGTTATTTATTAGCCATCCCATAATGTTTATGAATGAGATAAAAATATGAATGTGGGATCAGTGTTCTTTACGCTCACGTTACGTTTACTGTAGTTGCACGAATGGGCTGGCACGTCCGGGACTGTACCACGGCCTTGCAGAAAATTGGCGTTAAGTGGAAGTATTAAACTTTCGCATTTCGTCTAGTGCGTGAAGTTACCGGGAGCTCACTTTTTTAAACTTTTTCAACGCTCATTTGACAACATTAAAAGTTCGCTCTTAAAACGTGGCTCTACAATCGAGGCCATAAATCAACACACACATGAAGATAACTTTTTAAAATTGTATTAAACATTTACTAGTTTAAAAGTCACAAAGCATATGAATTGGTCGAATGAATTTAAAAGAGATAAAACATACTGTTAGAGAGACTTGTAATCCGACGTTGTGGCAACGAATGAAAAAGCCTTTGAATGTATGAACAAGTCAGTTGTATAGGATTTTACAAATATTAGTTCGTTTGAACGTTTATATTTTTTTTTTTTGATTTGCCAGCATGAATAGAAGTGTGCGTGTGTTCATTTGTGGTCGCGGCGTTGAGGGGGAGCGTGGCGGTCGCGTGTGGTTCGGTCACCTGCGGCTGGTAGGGCTGGTGCGGCCAGGGCGGCGGCTGCGCGGCGGGCATCGGCGGCCGCCAGGCGGGCTGCGGCGCCGGCGAGCGCGCGAAGCCGCCGCCCCACGCGGCCGGGAAGCGGGCGCCGCCCGCGGCGAACGGCTCGCCCTTGGCGAAGTCGGGGTGGCGCCGCGGCGCGCCCGCCGGCCCGCCGCCCGCCGCGCCGCCCGCCGCCGCCGCCGCGCCCGCGCCCGCCCCCGCGCCGCCCGCGCCCCCCCCCTTGCCGCCGCCGTACTGCAACGCGAGATCGTTTCACGTTAGAGCGGCTGCCACGCCGTCCGTCTACCTCTCGCCCCCGGAGTGTCCAACCGGACAATTGCCAAGACCGATCTCTTTTTAAAACAAAAATTGCTGAAGAATACAATATGTCGGTGTGCCTTTCATTACCCCTCCCCTCCGATAGCCCACCTTACATGATGACCCTGACAAGAAAACAATTTATTAAGACCCGTCACTTTTAGTTTGACAATTATTTGGTTAAACAATTGCAAGAGGCAATTAAAATAAATAAGACGAATAATGTTTATCGAATATGGTTAAACATAAATAGTCTTGCATTTCCCCAAACATTATCCGCCCTTGGATAGCGACGAAGGAATATTTAGGAAAATTTAAACAAGGCTATGACAATTAATATTACATTTCAAGCTCGCTTCTTCATATCAATTTATATTAACAAAATATACTTAAAAAGTAATACCATCGTCATTTGAAATCGAAACTCAAATTTAAATACGCATGCTTCCAAGAAAATACATAGCAGTATTTTGTATAATGAAAACAAACGTTATAAATTTGAGAAATACTCCTAAATAAATGTTACGCTAGCCGTAAACCCAAACGTGTACGTTAAATTAAAGATGATTTAGCAAATAGTGTCAGTCGAATGGATCGCAACGAAGCGACTGAGAATGCGTCTGCCGTCCGATGCATCCGACGGACGTAACCGCAATATAAACAAAGCGTCGATTCTGTTACACTTATGGCTAAGCTTAAATGTCCTCTGAGAAATGCATGCAAATGGTCCAGAGGCCAATATAACGTCATGTAAAGCCACCACCACACACTCTATACCTTTACTTCCATGTATTTTTTTAATTGTTTGTTAAATTTTGATAGGTAACGGGAATTTGGTTCAGCTTTTGACAGCCATCGGTCGATGGTCGCGCTGTTGGTAAGCCAATTAATCACACCGCAAGCCAAAATTTTGTTAAAAAAAACGAAAACGGAAGAAAAAAAATTAACAGTGATAGCTGAAATTTCGTTAAGCGAGTGGTATTATTCCAAAAATATAATGAAGCCAAAACCACGGATGATTGGCCCTCCCACGATGCCCCTCCGTCAAACTCGACGCCATAGCTTCCGACTCACCGGAGTTGAGTCAAAACAATCACACCGAACAGCGATAAGTATTTCCCATTGGATCACATTTAAAGGGAAAACAGGAAAAACAATAAATAATACGAACAAAAACCATAATCGCCATGATATAAACGGAGGTAAAGTATTTTATTTTCCTTTCGCAACAAAACCCTTCAGCGGGTTGAAGTAAGTTACATATATCGATCATAACAAGTTGAGTGCGTAACTCAATCATCGCCCCGCAATGTGATGAGGCGGATGGGGGGGGGGGGGGGAGTTGTTATAGGCGTCGCGGGGAGGGGAGGGCCGTGCGTGCGTGTGTGTATGATATTAGGGGTAGAGAAGACCGTATCGCCAATCGCATGGGAAGCGGTGTCGAGTGCGTGGTACAAACGTCCGTACGTAGGGGCGCGCGCTGGGCGGCAGCGGCGCCACCAGCTGCCGCGCGAGCTGCGAGCTCATTAGGTTACCGACCGACTGCTGCGCACCGCCCGACATCTACACACCACCAAACAGACCTCTGGTCACACAAGTTGCGCGTGGCGCGAAGCCCGCAGCAGTCGCAACCTCGGGTGGCAGCCCTGCACGGGCCTCGGCCAGCGTTTCCCCACTGTCTATAGTGGTGACAGCCCTGCACGGGCCTTGTGGTTCAGCGTTTCCCCACTTCGTACACAGTGGCGTGTATCGATAGGACTCGTGTTGGGTTTTCCACTTAGAAACGCTTTAAACATTAACAAATCGCGAGCAGTTGGGAAAACGCTGACGCAATCTACTACTAACACTAACAACATTCTTACATAAAACTGATGGATTATCACGCAGAAAGGGCTGAATTTACTGTCAGTTATTTAAAGAACTGACCAGTTGACTTTAGTTTATTTAAACACAAACTCAAAAAATAAAAGGAAGTTTACGAAGTGGCACCAAATCAAACAGAAAATATAAAAATACTTCCTTCACAAACTTTAAATATAATTATAACTATTACATTGATCGATATTACATATATTAATTTTAACATAAACACTACGATAAAAATCTAACTTCATCAGCTTATTTATTCAATCCACAACAGCACGTTCGTAAAACATAAATGAGCTATTAAAAATCTTACACAAAATCAGTTTTCTAAGATATTTTTAATAACGCTTTTTATACACGAGTGCAGTGTATAAGCAAATTTACATTTAAAACACACTTTCACACTAATCATGCAAACTCTTACATAAATTTTTTTTTCTTACTATACCCAATATCAAAATACTGAAAAAAATTGTCTATTGCAGTTGAAACATATAAAGAATTTTTCTGTGACATACTGCTTAAAATATAGTTAAATGGCTACAGACTTTGATTAATTTTCTGTTCATAGACAATGACACAATAAGATAAATTAGGAACACATGATGCTAGTTACTGCTATGGAGAGTATTAAGATGCTTGGCTAACTAAATTATCTTATAGACGTTATTCAAAAAAATGTGTGACCGGAGATATTCGACATTACAAGATACAATACGTATTGAGATATACAAGTGTTTCCCAATCCAATGCAATAAAGTGACTGGCATAGGGAGATAAACAGCTAACCAGAATATGATATAAGTAGTGATTCCAAATTCAAATTGACAGTGATTGTCATATACACTTTTTTTATTAAAGTTGCAGAGGTAGTATGTATGGGTATGACATTAATGCGTTGCCAATGCGCTTCGACGCGACACGGGCCCGATGGTGCGGTGGTGTCGGGTGTTCGTTTACCTCGATGGGCGGCTGCTGCTGCGCGTGCGGCGAGTGCTGCGCGTGCGGCGGGTGCTGCGCGTGCGGCGGGTGCTGCGGGTGCTGCGGGTGGGGCGGGTGCTGCGGGTGGGGCGGGTGCTGCGGCAGCGCGTGCGGCGCCGGCTGCGGCCGGTAGTAGTCCGGGTAGGGCTGCGCGGGCGGCGGGGTGCCGGCCGGCGGCGGGGCGCCCGCGCGGTACCCGCCCGCGTAGCCGCCGTACCGGTACTCGCCGGTGCCGTACGCCCTGCGAACGTACCACAAACAATGATGATTTCGAATCGAATATTTAACTTTGGGATATTGAATTATATAAGAGTTTAGTTACGCTTTTTAATTAAATTTTCCGTAGCAAAATTTACAATTGCTTGCACATATAAATATACACAACACAAGTCTTGATTTGTGGATCATTTAAGAATTCCATCTCGACAAGTTTAAAAGGGCAGTTAAGAACATTGTACCGTACCTGTCACCCTCGGGCCCATACGGAGGATAAACAGGCCTATTTGATGGGTATGGAGATCCATATTCGTACCCGTAACCTTGTTGGTAACCTGAAAGTTATCACAAAATTTTGAATTATACAAAACGTTTCCGTAGTTATCACGTATCAAATACATTTTTATTTGAATAAATTCTAAAAAAAATACTGATATATGGTATAAATATTATAAGTACATGGTAATTTGTTAGAAAATACTATATAGTAAAGACAAAATGGAAATACATGTCTTCAATAAACAAAAAATAAACATGCAGCTGTGGGTCTCAAAATTTATTAACATTTTCAAATATAAATTTGAAATATGTACAGTGTTATATGCAAAATGCATTTAATTGCGTTTTTATTAATATTAAAAATAAGCCAAATGGAGGAAAAAAAATTAAATAACTTAAAAACATTCTTCAAAATCGCTAAACGAATAACATCGTGAAAGGGTACAGGGGCAATTCACAACACGCCAGTTTGCAAAATAATGTGACAGCCACAAAAAGCATGAGAAGGTTTGATAGGAGGAGTATATACAGTTGAATTCACTAGGCACTAAAATAAATATTACTAAGTTAAACCAGTAATGTGATATCTTTTATGAATGCAGTAGCTTCCATTTAATAACAAGTCTTGTGACAACGACAACCATAATGATTAACATTTAACAAATTCAAATCGGCTATTGGTATTAAAATAAGTAACTGGGTTGATGTCATGACGGTAGCGATTATGTTACAAACGTTGAAATTGTTAGGGGATGAATCATTAGTTATGTTTGAAATCCTGATCATAGCTACCCATGAAAAGATGGCCACTGGAAGATTTGGGGTGGGGAGGGAGGGGGTTTTTTGGTGGTGGTGGTGGTGGTTGTGGTGGTGGTGGGGGATTTGTTAATAAATCTGCGCGTGTCGGGTTAAGTACCTGGGGGTCTGCGCGGCCCCGGCGGCTCGTCGAAGGGGTTGGAGGCGGCGAGGTTGTCGCCGCCAGGCCCGCCGCCTACAACCACATGGCTTTATTCTACCCGCTATGTCGCCGGGCGCACACCGCTGACATCATCCACGTCTCACACTTACGAAGTTAAGTGTTTAATTTTACAATGTATTATTCATCAACCGTGAATGATAAGCGACGTTGTCCGATTGTTTCGTTCGCACAATTATGAAAGAAGTTTGAAGTGTTCAGACGCGACGGTGGAATGGTGTCAGTAGCAGCACCCATTTTTTAGTTGTCCCCGAAACGTTACCATCAATAACGTACGACAAACGTGATGAAATGAAAGCTGACACCGTGTTGTTGATGGTAATGCTTTATTTTAATCAGTGGTGCAATCAGAGGGGGGTTAGTGAAAAGCATAGAGACGCATGATTCGGTTAGCAGAGATAAACTTACAAGTAAAATGGTTAGCCGGTATTAGCACAAATAAAGAGAACAAGCGTCCAGGCGTTGCTTTGTCTGCATTGTCTAGAATCTAGATCTAGTACTGAGAGCGCATGTACAGCGTCCTACGGACAGTGCGATCGTTTGTGCCTCTAGTTCGAAACTAGCGCTATTTTGCTATATTTACACTTCTATGTGTCTACGGATACCTATTGTAGTTACGATAATTTTATAATTTTATGAAGAGGAAAATGTATTTGAGTAAATCTCTTTTATTAATAAGTAGAATAGGTATTTGTTAGACAGTCTTTTCAATGAAAAATTATTTGACCAATCAGTGAGGACTCCGTCATCTATAACAACTTGACAATATGCAGTACATACAATAAATTACTGTCGTAATTATTATTACGTTATTATTATCCTGTGTATTAGCATGTTAGACAGTTTTGCGAACAACGAGAAACGACTAAGCTATTGTGTTTATAACAGCGAGTGTTCTGGACCTACAGTTAGTAAAGTGAAATAAACAGTTTCGTAGAAAGATCGATGGAGGTCGTGAACGAGGCAGATATAATATGAAGGTACATCATACATAAAGAGTCCATCCTCGTTACGGCTGCGCGGGTGTACACGATGCGAGTGGGTGGTGGGGTGTTGTAGGTGTGTGGGTGTGTGGCGGGTGTTGTGGGTGAGCGGCGGGTGTTGTGCGGGTGCGTTGGGCACTCACCCTGCGGCTGGCTGGAGGGCGGCGGGTAGCCGGCGTACTGCGCGCCGTAGCCGTCCATGGCGCCGCCGGCGGCCGGCGTGCCGCCGCCCGGGAACGACTCCTGCGAGTTGGACGACCCTGCCGAACCCACGGATGCACGTAAATACAATAATGAAGACCTTAAATGTCTGCGCTGTTCACTGTTCATCTCGATGTGGACCTCGGATTGAGGGGGCGGCTCATGGAGGTTGAGGAGAAAACAGTCACGTGTTATTCGAAGACGGATGTTGGCAAATGGAAATCTGTAAAATACCGCCTAATAAACTGGGACGACACGTACAAATGTGTATACGGCCTCGTCACCAACACATTTACCTACGTCATCATGTTTTAAGTCCTAACTTTACTTAAGTGATGTTAGCCATTGCTACTTAACTTACTTAACATGATTTTAGAAATCCAAACATACATGACTGAAGTAAATTACGCCACACAAGTCTTCTTTCGTCGCTTTTAAGATGAAAACCTTCTACCAATATTGAACATATTAATCTATGCACAAAATTTTCGGAAAGGTTCGCGAATTGAGAAGTAAAGGGCCACGTACCGGCGCTGGCGGTGTTGTTGGACTTGCCGCCCTTCTTCTTGGTGGACGCCTCGACCTGGTTGATGATGGGCTGGGGGTCGATTCCGCCGCGGTCGAAGTGGCACTCGTAGGCGAGCAGGTTCTTCGTGTAGTGCTTGCGCAGCGTGTACGCGGCCGAGGACGAGGCGCCGATGCCCAGCAGGCCCGCTATGTCCTTCCACGTCTTGTTCTTCGTCACCTGCGAGAGACGTGAGAAACATATTTGGCGTGTACGGAAAAGAAAGAACTCATTCAACATTTTAAGGCCCGGTTAAGTGTTATCCCCGTTGAGTCCATTGAGGATTAAGGTAAAAATAATCCAATAATGTTATGGAAACTATCAGAGAAACCGGCCACGACCATAAGTGCGCATATCCTCCTTTTTGCTTTAATCCCCCCCAACGGGAGCACCTCACGCGAACCCAAAAATTTTGAATTACTAAAATGATCACAGCTTCAAAATTAAAGATCGTAGGAACACGAATTTAGGAAACCAGTAACCAACCTCATTGAGGATTACATACTAGCAAGTGAGTTTTTCATACGTCTAACAATATTCCTAACGCGTCAGGTGCGAAGCGGCGCGGGACGTGCGAACGACATAAAGCGTCCGTTTTACGGCGCCGGTCGACGGAGGGGATAACTCGACGTTAACGAGTGGCAACCTAACTGTGCCGCGCGATTTGAACGTAACTCTTTTTGTTTTCAAAACGGGATCGCGTCAGACGCGTGCCACGCCGACGGCGGCCGGCGGTCGACTGACGTCGCCTAGCTAGCTCATAGCTGTTCTAGGCTCTAACCGGCCAACATTGTTCGAGCGCTGGACGCGGCCTTTGCGAGCCGACGCGCTAATGATAAAAATTTATTAACCATCGTTATGGCGCCGGCGCGTTTATGGCCGACCGCTCGCTCGCATAAAGCCGCGCCAACATAAATCCCCCGTTCCGAGTCTATTAGGCTCGAGTGCGTGGTGCCGGCGACTCTATATTGCCCCGAGCGACCGCTAGCTATTGTGGCACGAGGATGTGTTCACGTAACGTTTTGAAATGTATCGAAATTGCGTGCTCATTTGGTACGTGTTTTTCCTATAACGCGCCGAGGTTTTACTCGTAGTTCTACTCTAGGCTACGGCATTTGGAATCTACTTACTGTAAAATGTAACCGGTGGCAGGAACAATTGCCACAAAGTAAGAAGAAGCAGCAATTTATAAGATGCCAGTTTGGTATCAGTGGCGTTATAATTATACTTTGACTGTGGACGAAATCGCGCGTATAATTCATTTTCCACGAACCGAAGAAAGATATCGCATTGGTTCGGTCATACTAATGATTAGAATAAAGCTCATGTTTTCTTCTAATACGAACAGGATAGTGACGGATTACTTGATTATTGCCGATTATACCTTGTGTATTATTAATATTACACAAAATAAGTCATATTAATATTACTTTAACACGCGGCCACACAATCTGCGGTAGAGCCACGCAGCAGTTGCAAGTACGGATAGATTAGCTCGGGGGAGTACAGCCTCACAGAAAACCAGCGGAAAGTGGAAGTAAGCAGCGCTTTCGCGCTTCGTCTATGGCGCATTTCTTTAAACGCTAGCAACGCATCTGCATTCCTACTGGTGTTGAACATACCGCATATACCCCTCCCCCATTAAGGTTTCTTCCCATATAAAAAAAAGATCGATAAAGGGCTTTTCGTACGTAAAAACAAAGAACCATAAATGATGTTAGCCACGTCAAAAAAAGGTGTTGCATACCTCGACGAAGCCGCCGCGGTCGCGCACCAGCAGGTAGAGGCGGTAGAGGTCGAGCGGCTGCTTGGAGATGGTGGGGCAGGCGGCGATCGGGGTGCGCCTCTCCTCCATGAACGCGAGCAGCCTCTCCACCCAGCCCCGCCTCTCGGGCGCGTCGTCCATCTCGTACAGCTTGCCCAGCGAGTCCGACTTCTGGCGCGGGCCAACAACACATCACGCACGGATCCCCACAAATAGTGGCAACTTCTACATGTGTACGTGTACGTAGCAAACGGACCGCGGCGTGCAAAAGCGCATCACATTCGAAGATATACCGGTTAACACTCCTTTCTTCGGCACAACTTATGAATCATGTTGTGTAACGGTATTGGCTAGGTTTTTCACGAACCATGCGGCCGGTCACCCCTGACGTCACCCTCTCAGATCGGGAACAATTATCTGGTCACACAAATACTCGTCCCGCGTGGGAATCGAACCCACAACCGATTTGACTCTGAAGCCAACAGCAAAGCAACTGCGCCAAAAAGTCATCAGTTTGCCCATAACCGCGTATAGTTTCGAATGTGATGCGATGTCAATGTTTTAGGCTTGTTGATGGTGGTAAGAAATAAAATCATTGTTCTTGCAAGAAACGGTCCCATTGAGTGCGATAAGCAATTCCACTATGCAATAGTTGTAATAAATTACTATTGAATCTGTGTTAATTACAATTAACTTTTAACATCACTGGTAGGCGGCATTTAAAAAAAGAAGAGATTTTTCGCAACCAGTACTTCAAAGTATACAAAATGCCCATGATACATAAAGAGAAGATATTAATTATTACACATAATATCTGATGTTAAACAATACTACGAATTGATTTCAAAAACAAATATAATTACATTTAAACAAAAATACCACGAGGGAAAACGAAAAAAAATAAAGTAGCATTAAAGCAGTTTCTAATATAACTATATAACTGATTATGAAAAAAAAAAACAGTTTTGATGTAAGTGAACGTGATGAGAGCCACAACCAAATTAAATAAGAGCGTATTATTAATTCAAATGTGTAATTAAAGGTAAAGCCGAATTAATATTAATTAACTTTTTCGTCGACTGACGGTTTCTTTGTGGTTAAAAGAGCGTCGGATTATACCTTAACTCACCACAATAATAAGTTATAAAAATGTCGTTTCTTTTCATTATCACATTATTTTCCTTACTGTTTTTGCACAAACGAATCTTTTATAATCGAAAAAAAAAACCAGCCTTGCGACCATTACATCTTTAACCACCAAGAGAAGCATGTAAGACATTGTTATAAAACGGCTACCATGCAGTGGGATGCGTTTAAATATGAGTTAGTATCTAGACAATAGAGAGCTACTAAACATGCCAACGATCTAACTGGATATAAACCTTTGATCTGTAGGACTCCGGCGGTATGTGACTGTTAAACACCTGAAATACATGATAAAATGCAATGCTTCCCTCTCACTCTCACACGCTGAACACAACAAGCAATATAGGACTGTGGAATTTAAAACTCTTACATTGACCAATCTGATCGGACAACAAAATATAAAATTATGAATGGCTGCTTTCAGAAACAACTTGACTAAAACTGAAATATTGAATTGTTTTTCAATTGTTAGTGTTAAACACTGATTGAGGTCACGCAACAACTTATGCTCTTGCATTTGCGTTGTGCTTTTTTGCTCTTTTAAAAGTATTCAAAGCACCAATGTCTTTTCTTTTATAAAAAGAAGTAAATGAATTTAATGCTTAGCTAATTCTTTACATTTTCTATGTAAGAACATGACAAGCGAGCTGACGGTGCACCTGATGTTAAGTGATAACCGCCGCCCATGGACATTTAGTTGTAGGTTGCAAATTTGTTGCCACCTTTCACTCACACTCATAACTCTTCAAGTTCACGTCGGTCTTCTGTGAGGTCGTGGTACTTCCTCAGACGGACCTGCCTATTCGTGCAACAATGAAGATTTCGTGGTCCTACCACAGTAGCCGCGATGGTTGTAATTTAACCTTAAGGTTTCCAATGTTGGTTTATATGTTACTGTCCATATTTGTCATCCAATCAGATTGGTTTATTAAATGTAGGTTCATTAAATTAAGGTATTGGGGTAAAATTAGTCACATCGATTAGCATTTGGTTGATGTGAAAACGTTTACTATATATCAAACATTTCTACATCTCCCATGCTTAAGGATTACTGTGAACTATGTTTCACTTGAATTGACGCATCTATTTTAAATAAAGTGTTGTGTCTTTCATGTGGTGTATTAATCGATAATTCGAAAAGTCAAGTACAGTGTGGCGGCCTCGGCTTAACAGCTGTTGCTGTTAACTATAGTGTGCTGTCTTAACTTGTAGAGTAAAAAGTAAGTGCGCTTCGACACGATCACGTATCGCAGAGGGCGGCGGTGTTGTTGTGCGTTTTCAACCGACTTTTAAAAAGAACGAGATCCTCAATTAATTTGTATTTTGCTCATTCATTTCGCATTGGGTAAGGTTTAGCTCCCATATTTATTTCATTGTTATATCTTGGAGTGCGAACATACACCAGGGAAACAAACATTCAGGGAAACATTCCCAAAAATAAACAGAAAATGTGTATAGTGAGCGTGACATTTGAAGTCGGTTTCGTTACTGAAAACGTTTCACTTGTGTTTGTGTTGTATCGTGCGGTGTGTCCTGTCACAGTGATGTTGTTTTGTTTGCGGGTGTCGGTGAGTGAGTGTCGGTCGAACGGGTGGCGGGTGAGTCGTGCTGGTGTTGGTGCGGGTGCGGGTGTGTTGCACACTCACGGGGCTGGAGGGGGGCCTTGGCCAGGCGGCCGGCGCGTCGTAGTCGTCGTGCATCGACGAGTGGGAGCCGCCGCCGGGCGACGGCGAAGGGGCAGCGCTGCCGGCGCCCACCTCCTTGCGACCCTTCGAGCCGCACTGCTCCTCCCCCGATGCTGAAATACAAGCACGGCGCGTTTCAGCCAAAGCCACTGCAATGGATTTTTTTCTGATGGACAGTACATGTGAATTTTTGATTCTGCTGACTCTGAACGTACATGCGAAAATGAACATATGATATCATTTGAAATGTGAAACAATCCCTTTAAACGCTGCAAATAGACATGGATCAGTCTTCGCAGTACTAAGTGAAAGAAAAGTCGTTAAATAAGTAAAATTAAGTAAGACAAGCTTTAGAAGATCTGGTCAACATGGTCATGACAATCATTCATGAATAGCATGCAAATGTCAAATGCAATTCAACATCTGTTCAAAAGTATAAGACAAATACATTAATCGGGTAATTTTCTTTACTGACGTCGAAAAATCCATTAGCCGAGTTGCTTGGTTAAGTCTTTGTTTTGGAAGTTCTGAACTGATCTTCCTTCCTAGCACATTCTTATTGGTTTGAACGCGATTCTGGTGGTAGAGTGGAGAGGAACGGAGCAGAAGATAAAGTTGGATATAAAGGATACTTGAACTTCACCAGATTAGACACCTGCTGGAATCTATACAGACGGTTGAAGAATGGTGCAGGCGATTAATTGGATATAGGGAAAGCTTTCAGGAAGGAGCATTTGACAAACTGCATCGAGCACCAGATAATTTGGAAATAGTAGAGTAGACTAGATACTTTGTGGAGCATTCTAATGGACATAGCGGACGATTCGGTTCACCTGCGGAGGCGTTGCTGAGCGTGCTCTGCTGGCTGCCCTCGTCGAGGGGCGCCCCGTCGGGGCCGGTGGTGACGAGCGCGGTGGCGGGCGCAGCGGGGCCGTTGTTGTCTTGCTCGCCCGGCGCCACCGGCGGCGGCATCGCCTCGCCCGGCGGGCCCATGTGCCGCGCGCCCTGTACACCGTTAGCACGTCAAGTGACGACTGTGTCGCCTCCGCCAAGTCATGATGGCGCGAAAGGCCGTTGCGGATAGGCGGACTTTGCACAGCTTCGTAATATATTCAACACATCAGCAGCTGTAGTAGATTGCTATCTTTTACCGCCTTTAAGTAGTATTATTTACACTTTTGCATTTCGTTAAGTAAGCGCAACCTACCTCCGGGGCTCTACTTCTCAAAAGCAGGCAATTGCGGACCCAAGGTGTAATTTTGTATGGATATATATACTCACTTCTAAACAGTTGCGAGGTTCAATTGAACAACTATACTTATTACATTTTACGGGTTACGTCCAGCGGTAAAAAACCACACAACAAATCATTATCATTTCGGGTTATAATGGTTTTCCAATTGTTACCTTGAGCGGTGGATAGTGCTGGGGCGGATGGGGCGGGGGCGCGGGCCTGTAGCCCGCGTACGGGTACGGGTGGTGGTTCCTCGGCGGGTAGCCGTAGGGCTGCGGCGGGTAGTGGGCCGCCTTGTACGCGTGGTGGTAGGGCTGCGCCACCATCGCGCCGGGCGCTCCGGGCCCGGCGGGGCCGACGCCCCTCACCGCAGGCCCACCGCCGTCCGACAGCGAGGACGACGGCCGCGGCGGCATCGGAACGTTCTGGGTGCCTGGAACACGATCGCACGAGCGCGCTCTGTTACATCGATCATATACAGCATAGGACGAAGTTGATGGCGCTTGGATGGAGGGGACAATCTGTGATATAGATAGCATACAAATTGAATTACAGCGTGTATGAACGAGGCACTCTATGTGAAGTTCTATGTTAACATATTCGACTAACGCGTAAAAACTTGAGAATATAATATACCTCCATGCCTAGTGCTCGATTGATTGTTGTTCTTGACAAAAAATCAAGTTAAAATTGATATTGCGATCAAATTTAGTTTCAATAAGTTTAGTGGTCTCTACCATATAAAAAATTCAATGTTTTAAATTCAGATTTATCGGTAAATAAACAACAAAACTCGTAGATTCTTCAATCGTTGCACCGATATGACACCAACGACCGATAAAAGACGCTTAAAGAAAGAAAAACAACAATTGTTTATCACGTCACTCAATCTGGACGTCATCGATCAAAGCGATAAACAGTTCGATAGGAACGTATTCATGCAACATTGAATTTTATACGTTTGGTATAAATATGGCAGGCACTCAACTGCATGAATGAACGGTTATAAATATTTCCAAAACAAGCAGACGCTCCCTCAAAGAGGAGCGACCGACGAATAATTGGCCGCCAATTGATCCTAATCGCTGAAAGCGCTCCCACCATAGGAATCATTAACAATGGCGAGCCACTAGTTGTTGAATCTGTTTCCCAGCTAACGGGGGTAAATAGTCCGGGGCCGGTGTGAAACACTTCCTAATATACGTGTTACAAGCGCGCAGCGAGCTTGAATTAAACTGCGCTCCAGAGTGTAAACGGCAGAACGTGGCACGGACGTGTGTTTGTGTGCGTGTGTGTGTGATCGATCACATTTTGCACACACAGAGGCGGCGTGCACCAATTTGAATAACGCAGTTAACGAGGGAGCGCCTAAGCCGGGCCGCGTGCATCGCATCAGCCGGGGGCGGGAGAGTGGAGGAGAGGGCACCCGGATCACTTTCGCTTTCGCCCCGCCGCCGTACGGCACTCGCGAATCCCCGCTGCACTTTACCGCATCCGTGTAGGTAGGTATAAGTGTGTTCGCCCGCGACGCACGCGGGCGACGCATTGACCGAGGCCGAGATACGGCGGTGATTTGCGACGTCGAAAGTGGTATTGCAGCTTTTATGTGGGTCGATTTGGAGTCGCACGCCGCGCGCAGTTATGTTGGCGTTACGCGAACTGGCCCGGGACAGCGCAGCGGTTCCCGCTGCACCGTTAGCGGTGCGCAAAAAGCGAGCGCGGCACGCGAGGCGGCATTCTCGTGGGATGGCCTCCGCTCGCAGCCCTAATTGGGCTTTCGTTGGAGCGACGTGGATGAAGAAAAAAAAACACAAACTCGAAGGGTTCGACGCGGAGCGATCATTCCTTCGGCGAGTACCATTATCGGGGGGGGAAATGTTCCGTCGGCGCCATCAGACGGCTCGGCAGACGGCGGGGCGCCGGTGAATCATAGATAACAGCGTTGCCATACGCCACCTATACATGCTCATACCTATATCTATTTGTTTACAGCGACCTTTAATGAGTGCAGCCGCGCCGCTAACGGGGTCGTCCGGTCCGCCCGGATCCGACGAGTCTCGTGAAAACAAACAATGAATGGCGATCTCATACAAAAGATTTAAGGGCCCGACGGTCCTTTTATTCGAAACAATGCGCCCGAGTGCGAATTATCAGCAGCTCGCCCGCATGCGTATGTATTAACGAGTGGAACTTTTGGAACTCGTTTTACGCCATTGGTTGCCGCTACAAACATTGCTTGTGCCGATACAAAAGAGAATGTCGTCACTTCAATATCCACTCCAATATGAACATTGAAAACTTTGAAATCAATGTCATATTTTGAACAATTTTTTTCAAGCAATCGTTTGAAAAACATAACATGAAAAACAAGATTACTGCATAAGCGAGCGCAAGAACAAAAGCCTCCCGTTCGGTGGGCTCTAAAAATACTCGCGGTCCAATCGCGTTGTACCGCGTGGCAATAATAATTAATGCGGCGGCGCTATATTGGTTTTATAAAGCATCTCGGGGGCACGTTGCGAGTCGCCGTCGGCACAACCAGCTCTGTCAAGGGCAGCCCAGCCGCCGCGCCGAGGCCTTTACTTTCCCACCGCGCCACCACGTGTCGGCTTCATGCCTTATTCATGTACCAGTTGATATCGTGGCACGCACTCAAGGGACTTACACGTACAACTTATGTTCCTATATAGACGCGTTTTTACATAAACAAACGGAATGCGGATGGATTTACATTGAAATTTTTTGAATTCTGAACATTTAAGACGTCGATGATTTAAGATGGTCTCATTTTTTTATGTGAGATAAAATAAAAACATAATCCCCGCCTATAGGATAAGATCCTTCTGGCGTATACGTACATACACATATGTGGCGGTAGAGCAAATAAGTACATGTTTACCTTTTAAACGGTGAATTGAGGTCACAACGAAGTAGAGTAGAAAGACTAGACAATCGAAGCTCAACACATGCAAAACAAATCGATAAAAAGGTACTAATCACTTTCATGTTAGTTTAAGCTCATACAAATACTAGACCCGTGTTTACGTTTATTACTTTGTGTATAAATTACATAGGACTCTCCTATGTAATTTATACACATAGTACAAAAGTAGCCGCCAAAGTCCCTAAATTTCTATAATTTACCGTAGATAATGTGGTCATATACGTGCCCCGTGCAGAAACTGAAAACACAGTGGAAAGCCAATAGCCTAGAAGCTAAATAACAATGTAGAAAGAAGGCGTTAAGATTTTCGTCGCTGTGCCTATCAGCCGTTTAGCTCAGTGGCTAGACCGTCAAGCCGCGAATGCCGAAGACGTGGGTTCGATTCCCACAGCGGCGACAATATTTTCGTACTTTTTCTACATGTTTTAAACCTAGAAGCTGTCAACCCAGCCATAAGGTAAATGACTAAAGCTATGTAAATTCTATTCAATTTGTAACTATGCACCGTGTGATATTTGCACGATGAACAAAAAAGACGCGAGTCACCCCTAACGTCGAGACGGAATGCCTCGTTACATGTAATTGTGTTCTCGGCACTTATCGTTGACAGTACGTCACACTGTGAACAGTGTACCATTAAAGCGCACATGATGCACATCCTTCTTTGGAAAGAGGCAAATTTTGTTAGTTATCATCTACTTGGTAAGAGACTGCTAAATTTATTCTGAATGTGTGACAGTTGGTAACGTGCTTGAATATTTTACATAAAGACATAAAAGGCGAGAAGCCTAAATAGTTCAAGGAACGTAAATTGTTATATGTATAGTGGTCAAGTTGCCTTGGGTTCGGCGTAGGGGTCGTGGGTTCGATTCCCACACGGGACAACTGTTTGTATGATCCACGGATAAATGTTTTGGATTTAGTTGTTTGTCGACGGGTAATTATGTTAGTAAAAATACCTTACAATACAGGATAATATCATCCTTAAGTACGGGCAATGTTCCAATTGAAAAAATCAACAAAAATTACAATAAAATAAATATATATTATAATATATTTTCTCGTCGTCTCTTCTTACTCGTCGTTTAGTTAGTCAATTGTTAAGGGTAAAACTAAAGTGATTCTATATCATCTGAGCGAAATCAGGGAATTCAAGGCTCGCATAGATTGTAATCCTTTAATGTCATAAAACATTAAACATATCGTCGTATTATGAACACGTATTTATTAAAAAAAAAAGTATTAGTAAGTAAACCTTTTCTTAAATAACACTTTCCAGAATTATAAATAACCAAGGCAATCGAGTTATATGTGGCTTAATTTGGCAATAATGAACAATCATGCGGATTTTATGCGTATGTTTGAGACAATTTGTGCATAAGATATATATACTATATCTTGAATATTTATATGTTTTACATTTTATTTTATATTTTATTTATATTTTATATTTTTATATATTTTTTATTGTGTCCTTTGTAATTGCAATAGTTCTGCCGTAAGTGTGCTACCGATAAATAACAAATTTATTCTCAGTGAGGCATTAGTTAAGGGAGCAGCTGTAAATATCCGCATGCTGTATGTTCATTTTTATTTTTTATTTTGTCTTCTGTTCCTGTTTGTCTCCGATACAGTAAATAAATAAATAAATAAATATACATCTTGTGCTCTAAATACCTATGCGTACAATATAATCGATTTATATTAGTACGAAATTGGCTTCTTCATTTTCCAGTACCTATTTAGTTAAATAAGCTTTAAAACTTTTAATTTTAACACATTTCACTCCATACAAACTTTCGTCAGTGTAAATTGGCATAGATGTCATCCTCGTCTTTGAGTTTTAGAAACACTGATCAAATTAATCATTCCGATCGTTAAGAAGATCATTTTGGTCAAATCAGAGAGTTTAACCCATCCTTTTGGCACCTAAAATGAAATTTGAAAAGACATTTGACACGTGATTAGTTGACATCTACGATGATCAGTGTTTCAGAAACCGGGCGTTAGTCTCAGTATCACGTGTCAGATGGTGAGAAAGGGTCGCTAACCTAACCTAACATTTCTTCTGTTCATTATAATATGAGTAAAGTAAGTAATTCACGCCATTATTATTTACAGAAATAATTCTTTCTTTTAGACGAATATCAAAGGTATTTGTCAACTAGCGCTCACTGACGCTACTTCTCATTAACCATAGCCACTTCTTTATCTTCACTACTTAATTAGTGTAATCACCGGTACTGTGAGCTTTCTGAGTGCCCATGTACTAGCGTGCAATATGTGTTTCTGCATGTGTGCGTTAATCAATAATTAATTAATTAATCGAGCCGGGGCGCATTATAATGCGGTGGGGGCTGGGCACGCTGGGCGCGCAGAATCCGATAGCGCGGTGCGAGAATGCGGCAGAGGTGCGGCGCCGCCTCACCACAACGCATGCCGGGCATATCTCTCACCACATCCGGACCCCCCGTTTAGCGATTGACACA